AACTTTACTGCACTCTGAGGGATGCATTCTCATGGCCAAATTTCATCATGAAGGTCTCATCTCTTAAGAGTGTTACAAAGGGAACAAAATATCAGTATGAGTTTTGGAGGGGACATTAAAACCAGCATCTCCTACCACTAAGCTGAGTCTTGATCACAATGTCCATACTAACAAGGACATAATCAACAATGACACAATAGTAAATATCCAAGATAGACAACAAGAAGTACTGATGAAAATGATTTTTTTAATAAAGAGAAAAGATCAGAAGATGAGGACAGACAACAAAGTTGAAAGAAAATGGGTGATGTTCAGCTTCAGAATAAACGGCACAAAGGCTGAGCAAGTTACAAGAAGGAGGCCTGGACAATTGCCTACTTGGGACTTAGGAGGTTAATTTGCTGTGAAAGCTATCTGCAACAAAATGAAGTCACTTTTTTCAAGCCAAGTCCAATCAATCAATCAATCAATCAATCAATCAATCAAATAAAAGAGAGCTTACAAAGGAAGGGATCTCGTGTGTGCTTGCCTGTTCACGAAAGTGCTGCCAGAGCCACAACCTTGTGCAAAGATAGCACTGTGAACCTACACAGCAAACACTTTCCAGGGACACCTGCTCCACAGCTGTCCATACTCAGACTGCTGCCACCTTTGCTCTGATGCTTGGACACCCTTGATTTTCACCCTGGGCCCAAGGATTACTGTATAAGAGCAACTTACTATACCCTTCATTTTGGTTTTTAAATTTTTCTCTTGCCTCAGCCTCAGTCTCCTTGAATCTGAACATAGTTTGCTATGACATTCATGTTTCCAGTGTGATATGCTGGCAAAGGGAAATCCCTCAGTCTGTGACCAATGTCCCTTGGTGAGGTAAAAAAGAGACAGAGAAAGAAGAACTGCACGTGAGCACACAGAGATCTGTGAGAGGACAAGCATGCGACCACCAACCCTCCAGAAGGAGGTAGTCTTGCTGGAATCTCGACATCAGACCTCTGGGTCTAAAACAAAGACAGAGTCCAGGAGTTGATTCCTGGGCCTGCAGTGCTAGCCCTTCCCCTGGGACACACTGAGATGGTGGTTGAGACTGGGTGTGGTGGCATGTGCCTGTAATCCCAGCACTTGGGAGGCTATAAACAGAAGGATCACTATGAGTCTGATCTACACAGTGAGACCCTGAACACCCAGTCCTAAATACAAAAAGAAAGAAAGAAAGAAAGAAAGAAAGAAAGAAAGAAAGAAAGAAAGAAAGAAAGAAAGAAAGAAAGAGCGAGCTATGGCTACAAAAACAAAGACAGAACACATTTCTGTTGCTCTGTGCCACTCCTGTGACAGACCTTTATTACAGTGGTCTGGAGGCAATAATGAATGGGTGAAAGAAGAAGTAGAACATGAAACCTAAAAATATTTTTGTTTTAAGTGGCCATGGTACTGCTTATTATTAAATCTTTCTTTCTTTCTTTCTTTTTGGTGGAGCAAAGGATTGAACTCAGGCCCCTACGCTTGCCAAGTAAGCGCTTATTCTACTGAGCTATCTCCCTGGCCCCTAAAAATATTTTGATATGTATAAAATGACATAGTAAAGCTTATTAAATAAGGAAAAGTATGACAACCATAGAAAAATATATAACTTTACTTACACTGGATTTTACTTCCAGTTATAGATGGGAAAACTAAATTTACAAGTGATAAAAAGCATAATGTAACCCACATAATTTTATTAAAAAAGCTATGCAAGAGCTGTAAACAAATTGCAAAATTTTATTCATGACTATAAAGTCATACCATGTTATTAGATAAGCAATATATTTTCCTTTTTAAGTGAAAAAATAGATGTACTATAACTGCAATTAAAAAGCCAATATGAATATTACTGATTGATAAATATCAAGCAGACTGTCTTTTTAAATAGTCATGATAAAGGAAGTGACAGTCAATATCTGATAATTTACTTCAAATGGCCCAGCCAAAAAATGATACAATACATGGTAAAATGTTAATTACTTTCAATTTTACTGTATTTTTTGGTTAAATTGTTTTTAGGGAAGGGTTTTTTTTTTTAATTTTTTGTTTTTGGTGTCAAGGACCAAACCCAGGGCTTCCAGCTTGCTAGGCAAGCAGTCTACCACTGAGCCAAATCCCCAGCCCCATAACTTTTGAATCTAGGTAGTTTGACATATATTTGATTATTTCTATTGTTTAGATGAGTTTGAAAATTTTCATATGAAAATTTAAAATATATATTTCCTAAGTGATAATATGCATGGATTTTTGGAACTTAAGTGGAAGACTTATAGTAATCAAAAGAGCATACCTATAGTAGAGATTAGACAATTACCAGTAAATTTCTTATGGAGTTGAAAAAGTTATCCAGGTAGACATAAAATCTTAATGAATTTAATTAAGTGGAAAAATGGGTCACTCCTAAATGGTACTGATTCAACTATCAGGAAGAAATAGTCACATAAAAACATAACTGTAGAAGAATTAAGATCTGAATAAAGGTTCAAACTGTAAAAAATGCAAAAAAAAGTTGTAGACTATATTACTATGAGATTTAATTAAAACAAATGATGATCAACTTGGCTTCATGAAGGTAAGTTTCTTTCTACACAAAAGAACTGGTGCAGAGGCAGAGCGCTCACCTAGAATGCCTGACAGTTCTGGGTTTGGTGTGAAAGAGAAAAGGAAATCTGTGCAATGCTTTCAGAAGTAACCTTAAGAGAAAGTACCTATAGGGGCCGGGGAGTTAGCTCAGTGGAATAAGTGCTTGCCTGGCAAGCACAATGTCTTGAGTTCGATCCCTGGTACCACAAAAAAAGTACATATAATGCAGAAAATTTTAATATTCTTAACAAAAATAGAGAATGTAAAATGATTTACTGAAAAATAAATGATCCAACAAAATATAAGCAATAGTGTAAACACAGAAGTAGGAATGATAAACAGTAAGCAAACAGAAATATATGCTCAGTACAGTAAATAGTCAGAAAAATCACAAAATTAATAAATATCTTTCACCCATAGGAAGTGGGTGAATTTCTAAAATTTTTTTAAAAATTTAATATGTACAGCAATTTCTAGTGATATATTCTATTTGTTTTGTTGAAATATTAGCAGGAAGAACATTGTAATCAAGACTTATTAAAGAGCTGCTTAAAAAGCAAAATTCTAAAAGTGCTGGTTATCAATGGGAAGTGTAGTAAGCCTTTAATCAACTCTTTAAAGGAACATGTGTCTTGTACTAAATGTATATGGGTTTATATAAACTATGTATTGTATATCCACATGTCTTTGAACATACAGAAATTCCTGATATATTTCAATATATAATCAGTAGTTTTAAAGAAGTGCATATCACCATTTTTCTTGTGTACATCTCTACATTGAGTTGTCAAAACCAGCATTACTTTTAAAATTATGAAGTATAAAATATTAGCCACATGTCAATATATATGTATAATTATCACACAGAAGTAACACACAAATACATATGTATTACACACCTTATATAATATTCTTTGCAATTAGGTATTTAAATTTTCTATTCTCTAATTATAATTATTGTAATCACTTAGATACAAAGAATATATTCAAGAGCGAAAAAGGAAGCACATGGTTTCAGGAAGCCAAGACGTATTTCACGAAGGCTATCTCTAATCTTACAACTGCTCTTTAAAAAACAGAACTGTGAGCAAACACCTGTTTGTACAGATTTTAACACAATCTGTTGGAGACAAGAATGCTGCAGGCCTTAATTCTCTCTAGGATCTCAGGCAGAGGAAAGTGTGCCACAGCACCTACAGACCTTGCGTCCTAGGAGGGGCCCTTCTTTGCATGAAAATAAGATGTATCAGTTTTCTTAAAAACTGTTCTTAATACTGTGTGAATTTCAAGCTCCACAAAATCTGGGTATATGTATATTTGAAAGCAAAATGAATCACAAATAACTGCTATGTAATCAAAGTCACTACCATTATACAAACTATATTTACTCTCAATGAGGGAAACTTTATTAGATATCAGTATTTACTTGTAAAACCAATGTTTTATGTTTGCATATCTGAGAAAATTTCTTCCAAGAACTTGAAAACAGACAGTCCACTAGAGTTTTAGTAGTTAATAGATCACAGAGAAGATATGCAAAGCACCTAAAGAACAGACTGGCAAAGTAAATGAATGTTCACAAACCTAAAGACAAATACTGGTCAAGCTCTACCAGTACAGGAGAATCGCAGCAGTGAACACCGGTGCTAACAACCTAAGAACTGTCATGGCGAGGTGGCGCAGGGTCATCCAAAGATGGTATCCAGGGTCAAAACATAGGAGATCAAGGTCAGCATGAACACACCTGGTATAGCTCTGAATCCACTAGGCCAGGCTCAGTGTCAGAAATAAAGTCATCAGACTAATTTAGCCTGATGCTATTAGAACATTTGCCCCAATTCTCTTTTATCTGACGCAATGTTTTTGAACAACCTTTACTCAGTTGCTACTCAGCTAATCACTTAGCTTCCTAAGTGATTCTGACCACATAAGGCCAATATTCTAATATTTGTGATGCAATATATTTTTTGTAGATTAACAAAATGGAATTTCAGTTTTATAGATCAACGACATTATCTTGGAGAGCAGGATATGGATTATGAAAAGTGAATCCACTTTCATGTACTTTGGGGTTTGAGACTGACAGCCAAATCCTAGACTTCAATAAATTGTCAATCAAACAAGGACCTCTTAGTTTAAAGGTACTTGTTTCTGTGTAAGTACTTTACATTCTGGTTAGCATTTTAATTATCTGTACAGCGCACTTCCAGAAATTTTGCTAAGAAATGAAATGACCAAAATAAATATAAACAAAAATGCAAATAGAACAGTAAAGCATTAGTTCTACATTTGTTCTACCAGGACAAATCCATGTCAAATTACATTCCATTTTTAGTTATCAGTTTATTCCATATAACAAATTATTGGACTTCTAAAGTTGGTAAAGCTATTTTTACCTATGTGACTGATTAAGAAGATTTAGCGATCCGGTCTGGTACAATTCTTCCAACTGTTTCCTGTTTCCAAAGTACAAAGCAAGATCCGTGGCGATGATGGCTTTTCGGATGATCTCCAGCACCTGCTCGTACTCACTGGAGCTCAGGGCGGAGAAGATGTTGTGCCCTTCCAACTACGGAAAAATATAAAGACAGCCACCAGTAGCAAGCCTCAAGCTCTAGTGTCACACTATTTTCAGGTGTTTGATTCCGTATGGTCAGCAATGCCACTTGGCCCATTAATGACTAGTTTTGGGAGATGACAAAATAGCTTAAATGATTGTACTGGAAATAATATTTTGGTTTGTTTTTAAACTATACCAACAATAAGTCTCCCACTTAACTTATTTTAACAAAGGAAAGAACATTTGCTATTATGAAATGCCAGTGACTTAAATACATAAAGTTCTTTAAATATCTATTAGAGCTACAAGACTGAAAAATATAAAATATTTAAGTTAAAAGACTATCTTTCAAGACAAAAAAGTTTTGTATATTATATTGGAAGTGGGATTAGAAAAACATCTATCACCTTAACAACATCAGATTGTATCACAAACCATAAACTATTTTATGTTTCATAGAGAAAAATATCTCACAATCTCAAATGTTCATTCAGACAGACTAAAAATACTTCTTATAGGAAACAACACTTTTTTTTTTTTTCCGGAACTGGGGATTGAACTCAGACCTTTGTGCTTGCCAGGGAAGCGCTTATTCCATTGAGCCATCTCCCTGGCAAAAAAATACTTCTTACAGGAAACAACATATGTCTCTATATAAAAACTACAGGCTTACGCATACATAAATAACTAACAGTGTAACAATTATAGGCCCTCTTGTTTTTATTCTCTAGAAAAGCTGGAAATGCCTTCGTTAAGAATAAAGTATTCCTGAGCCAGGGAGATGGCTCAGTGGAATAAGCGCTTCCCTGACAAGCACAAGGGCCTGAGTTCAATTCCTGGTTCTACAAAAAAAAAAAAAAAAAAAAAAAAAAAAAAAAAAAAAAAAAAAAAAAAAAAAAGAATAAAGTATTCCTGACTTGTATTCCATTATCTCTGAATTATTTCATCTATGAAACTTAATCTTTTTTTCTTTTTGAGGTACTCGGGATTTAGTGCCTGTATTTTTCATTAAACAACAACTATAGCCCTTTATTTGTTTGAGACAGGGTCTTGTCTCAAAGTTTGTTCTGCCTCAGGCTCCTGAATAGCTTGGATAACAGGTATGCATCACCCTGCCTTATTTTAAAAAAAATTACAATTTCTTCTTTTGAAAATCTTAAGAATTTAAAGAGGTTTTTTTGGTTTGTTTGGTTTTTTATACAGAAGTTTTTGTTCAAACTAAGAAGAGTTGGGCAAGTCAGACAGCTCGGCAGATTAAAGCACCTGCTTAGGCAGATGCAGGGGCCGGGGGTTCAATCCCTGACCTGCCATGCTGGCCCCACCCCTGGTGTGTGCTAAAACAGCAATTGAGACTGAGTGTGGTGGTGCAGGCCTGTAATCCCAGTGCTTGGGCAGCTGAAAATAGGAGGATCACTAGGAGTCCAATCTTTGTAGTGGGAACCTGAAGACCCTGTACTAAATGCAAAAAAAAAAAAAAAAAAAAAAAAGCCCCTAAAAAGAGTGAAATAATTAAGATATATTCAATTTTTGGATACATCAATTATTTTTAGTGATTTCATTTTCATTATTGGACATCTTGCAAAGCCACTGTTTCACCTTTGAAATGAAGATACATATGTACCTTTGGTTGTTATTAGAATCTTTCTATTTAGAACTTCTAAATATTGAAAATTTCCTTATGATAACAGCAAATGGACGCAGTTCTCCTTGATCATTTTCCCTAACAATTCTAAAGGTAAGTCCTTATGCATATAGGATGGTCTACAGACTACCAAACACTTTTAAGCCTATGACTTCATTTTCAGTTTACAAAATTATCTCTTTCCTTCCATCCTCCTTACCTCCCTTCCTTCTTTTTATTTTGGTTCTCGGAACTGAATCTTTTCACTTTTTTTTTTTTTTTTTTTTTGAGATAGGCTGGCCTTGGACTTGTGATTTATCTACCTCAAACTTCAGAGTAGTTGGACTACATGTACTAAAGTGTCTGGTGCTTTATTATTCTTTCATATTAGAGAAAATTAGGCAAAAATGTTCAGTAAAGAGACTTTGTAAGGAAAAGTTTTTATGAGAAACCTTTTATTGCCTCCTTTAATGTTTTGCAAGAGTAAATGGAACAAATAAATAATAATAATGTCATCTTCTAAAGAGAATCTAGTATTTTGCTTCTGCCAAAAAATGAAAGCAAGTAAGGGAAATAAAGGCAACCTTTTAAAAATTGAGTTTCACATTAGTTAATATACAATGTAAACTTCTAAATGATCCAATCTTTTATATACCAATTGACAAATCTATTATTATTAATCCCAGGTCACACATTTAATGTTAATTCATTAACCCTATTTCATGTAAATCAAAAATGAAAATAGAAGACTTTTTATATCCAGTAATAGTTCCAAATACCAACATAGGTGTACAGAACATAATTTATGTCCCTGTGAGAAAACATGACTAGATGTCTGTAAGTGTTCTAAGTATCTGAGATCTGAGAAAAGGTAGCAGATATACTGAAATTGGCTGATACTGAGAGCTTAACTAGGGGCACACTTGAATGCAGGATCCTGAAGGCTACTCCCAGCACTCAGCCAGTGAAATTCTAAGTGTTCTTAATATTTCAGTCATGCTGGAACATTAGGGAAACACTTCCTGCCACAGCTGTGTCTCCCACAAGTAAAAAGTACAGCACATGTCCTTACTTTTTAGCAGAAATTTAGTGTATAGTGCTTTATAGGACATTAACAGTTTAGTATCCACTATATTCAAGGTCCTAAGCACTGAAAGCTCCTTTTTAAAGAGTCCTTAGTTGAGTGGAATAAATGAGGTTACCAGCACTCAATTAAAATAAAGTGGCATGGACTATACTAATGAATTAAACCCAGGCCTACAGAAGATATGGGAGGCTTTTGTTCAGTGAAGTCCCTACCATGAAAGTACATGGAGAAGGCAGAGGAGTAGCTGAGACCACAGGATCTAGACTAGCTAGTAAGAACTATAAAACCCTCCACACAACCAAAGCAAATTGAACAGAGAAAAAAAATGAGAATTTTGGTAAAATATCACCAGGGTAAAAAGAAGCCATTGATAATTTTAGATGGTGAAATGAGGTGTATACTTCAAAGCAGTCCCTGAGGAAAGAGTGTGGGCTAACATAGCTCAGAACCAGGGGAGGAAGAAAACACTGATGAATCTTGTTTTCATAAAGTAAAACTATTATTATGGATTATTTTTAAAAATTCCCCTGACTCTATGTTGCTCAATGTGGTAAAAGAGATTCTGATGGAAGGTATCTGATATGCAGACTTCTTTTCCTCAGAACAGCCAGGTCTAGGTCCCAGCATCCTGTCTTAAGTGCTGAAAATCACCACTCTACGAAGCCACAGGTACTGACTGCATTATACACATCTTTGGGTTGACAAGGGTGAAGTCATTGATACAGCTGTTAGACTACTCATTCACAGTAACAGTGCTTTTATGAGACATATAATACTTTGAGACATATAATATTTGATCATCTAGTGAATCAAACCACAAACTAGGAAGCACTGCAATAATGTAATTAAAAGCAAAAGCTTTGGAGTCAAATATTTCTGGTTTTTAATCTTTTTGGCCACTTACTTACTGTATGACAAATGGACAAGATTCTTAACTTTTTTGATGATTATTCATATATATAAAATGGAAATGAATAAAATACCTCATAGGGATACTATGAGAAATAAAAAAAAATTAAAATGTAAAAACACTCAGGTTTCTGCTTCATGGCAAGGACCCAATACCTGATAAAATGACGATAACACAAACTATATGTATCACTTTGGCAGTAAGAGTTAAGGGAAAGAAGGAAGGAAAAGTGAATGAAGAAAACAGATATATCAGGGCCGGGGAGATGGCTCAGTGGAATAAGTACTTCCCTGGCAAGCGCAAGGACCTGAGTTCAATCCCCGGTTCCACAAAAAAACAAAATAAAACAAAACAAAAAAACAGATATATCCCAAACTGATTTTGATGCCCAAAGACCAATTTCTGTTTAGAAAACATTGTCAGACAAGCAAGGTATATTGGTTACTTTTCTCTCACTGCTGGAACAAAATATCCCAACACCCAAAATTAAGGGAGGAAAGGTTAATTTAGCTCACAGTAAGTGGAAGTTTCAGTGCATACTTGGCTGGTTCCAAGGCAGAGGGGCAATGGCAGAGAGCAGCCATTCATGGAGATGGAAAACATCAAAGAGCAAGGGAAGAGTCATGGTTGTGCAGCTAGCTAACCTCTTTCCCCACCTCACATTTGTATGCAGATTATCCACCCTAGGGGGAGTGCAGCAATCACACCAATTATCCCAGCTACCTGTTCCATGTTATGTCTAAGATTTTGATATTCAGTCAGATTGTGAGGTTAAGCTCAACTGTCTATGTTATAGGGTAATAATATCATTAAGCTTCTCTTCTGGAGGATTAAAAACTTAAGTCTGCAGATCAAAAATTAGAGAAAAAGAAGGGCTGCAAGGACAGTCAACATTTTGGCCCTAGCCTTTCAAGGTCAGTGAGGACTCAGGAGAAAGGAGAAACTGTACTGTAACATCCTGTAACTCAATGGGGTCCCAAATTTTCTGATCAAGGAGATTATGGGTCCACAGAGGAAAGTGATCAATGATGTAGAGTGTGCCTAAGGAGAGTCACATGAAAAGAAAACATTCTCTCAGGCTATCACAGAAAGCAAATTGGTCAAGTAATGGCTGTGACTCATCCACATGGCTGATACTGACAATGGGTTTCAGGGTAAATCCTGAGGAGATTTGACTGACCTTGTCAGATACTGAAGTTATATTTCTTGTTATATAGGTATTGCTTTATCTTGCTCTTAACCATCCAGTAGAAAAGTATAAAAACAAGATATAAAAAGTAAAGCTATATTAATATGCTGAGCTGTAAAAGGCTCAAGTCAACAACTTCTGACATTGCCAGTCCTACAGATAACCCACTACTATTGTGGACTACTGGGCTGTATTGGATTAT